TAGCAGAAGGAGCAATGACCAGAAAGGGGTGTTTCAGAGCTGTACATCTCGAGCTTGAAAACGCTGCAGACCTAGAGGTGAAATGTCAGCATTCTGATAGAGAGGTAATTTTGGTTCAGAAGAGGCTTTCCCTCCATCTCTAATCACACCCATTAGGCTGGGTACTGCCTTTAGATACATAACGCAACCTTATATAAGCCACCTAAAAATCGCACCAGGAATGAACAACTCTACTTCTCTGAAGAATTCATAATGTCATACTTCTTTCTTCTTGAGTAATAGACTCTAAACGCGGTGCTTCCATTGTTAGGGTAGAGCTGAAGGATGTGGCCAGCTATCCTGAGCTCAGTCACACACAGAGACCTTAGAGATGGCCCGGAACCGGCAATCATCTGGTGCTGTTAGCAGAGGAAAGGGGGCTTTTGAATTAATAGTAAAAACCATAATAATTGCACCATGATCAACAGGCTAAGTAGCTGTAAGATAGGACTGGGGACAGCTCAAATCCCAATTTTGGTTCTAACCTTCCCACCTCAAATGGTTTTTAGGAACATTATGTAATATTCTCTGCCTTAGGTTCCTGACCAGGAATGAGCACATTGTCAACCAACCAGTGAAATCTTAAGAAATAAGATTAATTAAAACTTGTTTGAGCTTTTATAAGAAAAATACAACATTACGCTAAAGGATTGTTAATATGATTGCTATCTGCAAAGCATTTGGATCAGGTCTGAATGGTTGTTTGGAAATAGCGCCCTTGGGTTTCAGAGTTGGGCTTAATTAAATGTAACTTGTGTTTGTTCATAAACGCAGCAGGAGCCTTAAGACAGACAAATTAGCCCTAAATATGTTATTTTCTGTATGAAGTTAAAGGATCTCTGAAGCAGAAATAGTCATTAATTTCGAGGTACTGACTTTTCTCTAGAAAATTTCTTTTGGTTTAGTTTCCTTTAACCCTTCTGCTGGAGGGGCAGTTATGAAATTAGTGGGGACTAAAGGTGGCTGCATGGAGAAAACCAAATTGGAATGAATTATGATGACTTTACAAGGCACACCGAAAGACATTGTTTCCTTAGGAGTGACTGAATCTCACTGGGAGAATATTTATTATCTACTGAATACAGCCACATGCTTAGAAGTTTTCATCACTGCTCTGTAACTCTTTCATATTCTGCCCACACGCACTGTGGCCAGAAGACAGGTGCAGCCACGGGAGTATATTCTCAGTAAATGTTTAGAGCGATCCATGCTGCAGCTCAGATCTGACACTAGCATTTCCATATGTGCATTCTCATTACCGTGGCTCTGCCAGTCAGCCATATCAACTCATTGTAGGATGAGCTTCAGCAGGCAGGTTGCCTTGGACCCAGAGCAAAAAGCACACCCCTCCTCCTTTATTAAAATGGTTCCATCTGACTTGGCGCTCTTGATTTGTGAGGCTAAAATCGCAGTGACACTGTTTCTCACTCTCAGACAGTGAGCTCAGATCCAATGGTTGCTGAAAACTGTCCACTTTGGAAGATTGAAAATTTACATCGAGTTCAGAAACTCTCCTTCCTTTCAACCAGCTGCTTCGGTCTTCCAAGGGTTGGTGTAACCAGTTCCCTCCCCACAGCCACACAAGTGCCTTCCCTATCCTGAAGCAAGGACAGGTAGCATGGATGGAGACCTCAGGTGCCCTCAAGTTTGGAACTTCACAGTACAGTGATGGGGTCAGGACTTTTATCATGGCCATTTCCACCTGAATCATAATATAAATCTAGAGATTACTGTGAAAAACAAACTCTGTCGCCTCATATGGATTATTTTGTAACAGCATAACATCTGTGAACATGACTGAGGCGCCAAACGTATACAGGATCTGAATTTTCAGAGAGGATTGGCGTGTAAATAAAGTTGATATTTAAGGTGGCTGCACACTCATGATTGACAGAAAAGGCCAAGAAAGCAAAATGTCATGTCAATGCATCCTAATTAGCTCACACATGTAATAGTCCTTTAGTGGGATCAGCAAAATAAGCATGGAAGGGTCCAAGGCAGCAACTGCTTTTTCTTTTTAAAGTACATAATCTAATAAGTGCACTGCCGCAATTTGTTCAGTTGGACACAAAGTGCCTTCGGTTTACAAGTCTTCAATTTTAAGGACATCTTTTCTCAGATATAATGGAACAAAAAAATCTGCCTTGGAGCTTTTCAATTACGCTGTTCTGAGACCATAGCAGAGAGGAAAAAAAAAAAAAAGATCTGCAAAATTAGTGTGACTGTCATTGGGAGCTATCTCAGGTATACAAATGAAGCCACGTTCTCTGTTCACGGAGCTGCAATAAGAGAAAATACCTGCCTGGGTAATTTTATGAAATGAGAGCATATCCCAGTAGTAAAGGATCAGCAAGAATTGGAGAGTCTTCAAATGCAAATTTCCTGACATTTCACAGCTACTAAAATAGTCACCCTACCTTCGTGAACTAATAATAACTTAGTTAAAGGTTTCACTTAATATAACCAAACGCAATGCAAAAAGCCCACGCTCTGATAAACACCATTTCCATTTTAGGGCTTGCTAGGGGTGGAATGTCTCTCTTCAACTTTCTCTCACACATCAGAATGTCACAAGCAATTAGGTGAAATTATTTATGTGAAATGGAAAAGTAAGTGAATAAAGCACTGCTGTGCACATCAGATGTAACCAGCATCCCATTTAGGAATATCGAAGAGAGGTGTCCTGGTATCTTGATGAAGTGACTGTTCTTTGAAATTATTGAACTGTCTTTCATTGCACTAAACAGTTTTACCTAATGAATGTTTTGAAATCAAAACCATTTTGTTTTTATGTATCAATGGAAAAACTACATTCAGAATCTGCAAAACTCAAAGGAAAGCTTTTGAAATATTGGCATGTCTCTGAATCTCTTAATATTCTGTGTTGAGTACAGGGCAAACACTCCGCTTATGGAATCAAATTGGGAAAAATTACCTACGGGCATAGGAAACCTTTTGAGAAGAAATTTGATAATATGAACCAAATACCATAAAACCATTTATATTGCTTTGACTCAATAATTTTACTTCAGTGAATTTACGCTAGGCATCTTTAATACTGAGAGAAGCTTATGCACAAAGATGTTCATTGCAATGTTATTCATAATAAGAAAATAATTAGAAACTATGTCTCTTTTGTTGAGTATTAAGGAAAAGCTAATCATGAGATATCAACTGAAAGGAACATTATGCAGCCAGTAGAATGATGCTTGTCAAAACTAGCTAGCAACGTAGAACACTCACATGATGCAATAGATGTGCACAAAGCCTCATATAAAATTGTGTGCAATAGAGCTGCAATCGTGTAAACACCAAAGAAGCATAGAGAAAAGACTGAGGAAACGTATGGCAGTGCTCGCATAGACTGTGTTTGGACAAGTGTACTATGAGTAATTTTTTATGTCTTTTGATTTTTTAAAATAATTGATAATTTTTTAAAAAGAAATTCTTGACTTTAAACCCCATGGTTATGCTCAACAGCTGGTTGTATTGAATTGAACTCGTCTCTCTCTCAAAAGTGTTTTCTATGTAAATACACTCATGATGGTTAATTAGTCTCAACTGGGAAACCAGTCTGGCGAAAGTACATAAACTCTAATTAACATAGATCTCACTAATTAATTGATGATTAACAGAAATTCACAGATCTGAGATTCTTACAGAATAAAAAGCCCCAAAGCAGTAAACAAGTAAAGATTTTTTTATTATGTAGTTATAATGCATATAACAAGTTGTAGTTTTTGGTGAGCTTATTTCATTTAACTTTTTACCTTTAGTTATGCTATTTGTAATTGTTTGTAATAGCTGATAAAAAACATATGAAAATAGAAAAAAATAGTTATGTTAGCTAACATAATTAAGCAAACAAATTGACAAAACCCAAAGCTGATTTGGCCGGTCATGTTTCTGAAACAGACAAACTGGTTTGCTTTAGTAGATTAAGCTCAGAATATATTGGAATCCCATCATTTGTTTCTAATTAAAATGTTTTTATAAATGTAAACATTGATATAAAATTGACAATTGAAAGGGAAGTTAAGTAAATGTTTCCTTCATTCATTATATTTATAGATAGCAAAAGATAAAAGGAATTTTTATGTAATCTTTTCCAGAAATTTTCTTCTCCCTCCAAATGCAACCACTAAAATGTTTCATATAAAATATTTATGAGTTATTTTTTGACTTAAATGCAACCAACTATGTGTTTTACTTTTCTATGGGCATTTTAAAACCAAAGCTTCAATTAAAAGGTTAATTGTCCAAAGCTATGTCATCCTTAAAGATGAACTGAATACTGTTGATTTCAAATGTTTTAAAAAGATAAAGTATGTTATAATAATCAGGCTGATACTTAAAAAGTTGAAGCTTTCTTTAACAGATTATTTTTAATACACTATTTTTCTTAAACATGCCTGTTTTGTGGCTTGCTTTAGTTTTAGGTTCACTTGAAGATCTGCCGTAAGAACGTGCAGTACCTAGTTCTTTCGGGCATACAGTTTAGCAAGCAACCAAGTTTCTGAGTTGGTGTCATCATGAGCTCTGAAGATAAAGCACATTTGCTATTTTCTAACAGAAAGCAACACATGATTTAACTATGAGATGGTAAGAAATACATTTTTTTGTCTGATCATAAATGATAAAGTACTAATTTCATTTTTTCATGGACCTACGAATGTTATTGATATGAATGATACAAATTTGTTTTCAAAAAATGTTTTATAAGAATAAATACGATGCAGTCATCTGTCCTATTTTGTTAACATAAATGGCACTTAAGATTATGCAGTAAATAGTCAATCAAGTGAAAACCATTTCCGACAATCATTTAGTCGATTAATCAATCAATTAACCACATAGGAGGTCTCTGAGATACAGTGGTGGCTTTCTTAATTTTGAACGTTCACCTGTGTAAACAGAGTTCATATATAAGCGATTTAAAAAAAAATATTTAAGCAACTTACCTCTGTTTCCTTGAACTTGGAGAAAAATCCATAGAACAAAAATAACCCTTCTAGTTTCCAAATACATTCTGTGCACTGGTAATTCTGGTAATAATCACAGAACAGCCCCAAATCTCATTTAAAAAAATAAAATGACAAATATTAAAAAAAATTAAATAGTTACATCAGCTGAGTGAGGACAACCTTCTTGGTTTACCTTTATGAGGGTGCTAATTTATGAAGAACACGAGGCAGTGCCTGTTCTTGGAATAATCTCCTTATCTGGCCCTCAGGTGTAATCTCTGCTTACGGGCCAGCTGGAGGAACCTTTATCTCATTAACCTTCTGGAAGAGCATCTGTCAGCCCAGCTCCAGGACCCTGAATGCCATTAAAAACAAGTGTCCAGAGACAGAAAGAATGCTTTTTCTCTTAGTTATTCACCTGTTACAGTGACACAGAGAGCTGGGGGAAGTCCTGCCAAAATGCAGAAGAAGGCTGACAGTTAGGGTCAAACGTTTTCCAAAATGACAGGCACAAGGAACAGCCATCGAAAGAGCTTAATTGCTATTCCTGGAAGTAGGTGCTTATTCGATATGTTGATCTCCAGAGATAGCAAAGCTGTCTCCACTCTCATAGAAACGTACTGCTTTGTAAATTGCTTGCTTTCTGGCGTTACATGCAGGTGACCTTTTTGGTTTGTTTGAAGTCTGGTTTAAATGTTTAAAATTTGTTATGCATGTGCAGAATGTATCGAGTCAAATAGTTCTATCAAGTTTGAGAAAAATCTTGGTGCCATACCTCCATTCAAAGGCAACCACTTTATTTTTTAATTGAAGTATAGTTACAATGTGTTAATTTCTGGTGTACAGTGTAATGTTTCAGTCATACGTATACATACATATCATTGTTTTCATATTCTTTTTCATTATAGGTTACTATAAGATATTGAATGTAGTTCCCTGTGCTTCACAGAAGAAATTTGTTTTTTATCCATGTTATGTATAGTAGTTAGTGTCTGCACATCTTGAACGCTTTTAATTCTTTAAGCCAGTTGTTCTAGTATTCTCATTTGTACCTTTAAATATACTATGTGTCTAATACTACTTTTTTTTCACTTTCAGGCATTATCAAATAATGAATATTGAGAATATCTCCTTCCCCCCCACCTTCCTCACCCTCAAAAACATGTACCTATCCTCCATCTGTCTCAGTTTTATTGTATTTTCCATTTATTGGATATTCAGTTTTATATTATTATGACTGTTTACATGCTGCATATAGCTGAGCCATGGAGTAACTGTAATTACTAACGTATACTGAGCGCTTATATTGTGATACACACTGTTCTTAGGGATTTCTGTAGATTATCCATGTATTCCTCAATACAAAGCTCTGAGGGAAGTTCTACTATCTCTGTTTTATATTTGAGGAAGCTAAAGTAGATGCGGCAGAGCCAGGACTTGAACCCAAAGAGTCTGGTGCAGGAGCCTGTACCCTTAACCAGTGCCCTCTCTGATGACTTTTGCAATGGTCTCACTTTTTCCTCCGTAAGTTTTCTGCGTACAAAGCAATTAAATATCTCCAAGCATTACCCCAGATATGTAAATTTCATTCTCATACGGTTAAACACTTCAGATGGGCCGTCTTCCCCAGAGCTTTCTAGCTTCTTCCAAGCTGTATTTTTTCATTTCTTGTTATTGTTCACAGCAGTGATCTGGGGATCTCCTTTCACAACCACCGTGGGGATTCCTTCACCTCTTTTGTGTCCGATCCCATGGTTTCCAAATCTCATGTTGCCTTCTTTCTTAACCTAATCTCTTGTTGTAGCAGAGCACATGCTTCTGTAGATTATTGAGAGGAAGTTCACAGTAGATAAACTTGAGATCTTGTAGGTTGGAAAATGGCTTCCATCTATTCTCATATTTGACTGCTACTTTGGTCAGTGCTATAGACCAAAGGTGTGTGTCCTCCCAAAATTCATATGTTGAAAACTAACCCCAACATGATGACATTTGGAAGTGGGGCCTTTGGGAGATGACTTGGGTCATGAAGGTGAAGCCCTCTTGAACGGGATTACTGCCCTAATAAAAGAGGCACCTGAGAGACCCCTTGCTGTTTCCTCCATGTGAGGACACGGCAACAAGACTGCTCTCTGTGGACCGGGAGGCAGCTTCCCACTTGACGCTGAGTATGCCTGCACCTTGATCTTGGACTTCCCAGCTCAGAACTGTCAGAAACACATCCTGTTGTTTATAAGCCACTCAGTTTCTAATACTCTGTTACAGCAGCCTGCAAGAACTAAGACAACTGGAGGGAGAATTCTAGACTGGAAATAACATTCACAGATTATTGAAGACATTAGTTAATGCACTGTCTTCTAGCTTCCTGTGCTACTGAAATCTGAAGTCTGTTTTGTTCTTGGTTGTTTTTTTTAACTGAAGTATAGTCAGTTTACAATGGTGTGTTAATTTCTCATGTACAGCATAGTCATTCAGTTATACATGTATATATTCCTTTTCATATTTTTAAAAATTATAGGCTATTATAAGGTATTGAATATAGTTCCTGGTGCTGTACAGCAGGACCTTGCTGTTTATCTGTCTTAAATACAGTAGTTAGTATCTGCAAACCCTGAACTATGTTTTTGATTCTTTGTGTAGGATCTTTTCCTCTCCAGAAACTTCTATAAGCTTTTCTTTGTCTCCACTGCTCTGATACTGTGTGGTAATCTGTCTGGTTATGGGTCTATTTTAATACATTGTATGGGGACACTTAGAGGACCTTTTATCCAGGTATTCATGTCCTTCAGTTACTGCAAATCTCTTTCAGGTATGTAATTTTCGTCTTTTATTTTCTGTGTTGTCTCTTTCTGGAATCCGTATTACTTGGATGGTGGCATTCTTGAACTGAGTCTTTAACTCCTTATGTTTAAGTCTGTTAATAGGCGACTGAAAGTTCTGCGCATAAGATTAGAACTTGTCAACTGTGGTCTTCACTGTAGATTGATATGTGTGGGATACTTCCTTCTTAGTGTTGCCAGATAAAATACAGGATTCCCAGTTAAACTGAAGATAAAAATAATTTTTTAGTATAAATATGTCACAAGTATTGCATGTGACATATGATGAAATTATTTGTTTACCTAAGATTCAATTTTAACTGGGCAATCTATATTTTTATTTGCTGCATCTGGCAACCCTTCTTCCGATATTTTGAAATATTTCCTCCTCAGGTGGTCACATCTCCCAGAAAAGACTCCTGATCTCTTGATTTTAGGACATAGACTAACTCTCAATATATCAGTACATGAGCTAAGAAAGGTCTTGGGTTTGGGTCTTAATATTCTTGTGTGTATTTTAATTTGATCTTCCTATTTTCAGAGAAGTACCCTCACTCTCAAATCTGCCAAATATTTAATAGTCCAGAGAATGCTTTACTCTGTCCAGAAAATAAAGCTTCAGCCTTTTGTTGGGGGGCAGAACGGCAGTGACAGGAATGAATGGAATGGGGGAGGGGATTTGGAGGTCTAAGTGATTATTAGGTATTTCAGTTCATCCTTCTATTTTTAACCCAATCCTTCCATTAGTTTGCCCCCATTTCCAGAAGTACCTGGAATGTCTTTTAAAAAAATATATGTAAATTAGATTGTTTCTGTGCGTTCTCTGCTGCCAGTTTAAGATTTGTCTTAAGATACCATCTGTTCATGGTATAAAAATTTGCTTACACCTACATGTTCAGTTCAATAAAATTATTATGAAGTGAACACCCTGGTAACATACAAGTAAAAACAGAGAATATTAATAGCACCTCAGAAGGATCCATGGTCCTACTCACAAATTCAAGCATTTCTTCCCCATTAAATATAATCACCATTATTGATTTCTATGGTAATCAATTAATTGCTTTTCATAATATTTTTTACCACTTATTACACATCTGTAAGCACTGCTGCTTACTTCTGCTTGTCCCACCACCATTATTTTCCCTAATGTTCTGATGTTCCACTTTTGTCATAAAATCTGTATATTTCATATACTCATGTTTTTCCAATCCTTTCCCTCCCTCTTGCTTTCATTATATTGATTCATCTTTTATTTCACTGTTTTCTCTTCAGCTGGATATAATGTATTCTTCTTAATTTTAATTTCTGTGTTTTTCAGGTCTGGGATTTCCATTTGGTTCTTTTTCAAGTCTGTGTCATCATTTTTAAAAACAGTTTATGCCTCTGTGTTGAAATTTTTAATCTTGTCTTTTATCTCATTGAATGTAGTGAGAATGGTTTGATAATTCCAAATTCTGGAGCTCTGGGTATTGATTTTATTGTCTTGATTTTCTTGTTTTTGTTTTTAAAAATTTGTTATCATCTTATCTCCTGGTATAAGTGGTTATTTTTTCTTATTGTAAGCCAGACATTATATTTTAAGAGTTTGTACTGCAATTAGGAGGTCAGCATGGTGTTGATGAATAAATATACACAAAGGTCAATGGAACAGACTAAAGAGCCCAGAAGGGCCCACACAAATACAGTTGATTGATTTCTTTTTTTTTTATTGATTCATAATCATTTTACAGTGTTGTGTCAAATTCCAGTGTTCAGCAC